CGAGAGACTTTCTGTAAGTAAGAATTCCATTGTACCAGTACCGGTTACATATGGCAATAAAGTTCAAAGTTCAAGTTCAAGTTCAAGGTGTGTCGACAAAGAAACCACTGTGGTTAGAAATCCAGACGGACAATATCACAGTTATTACCCTATCAAACAAAACATTACCATTTTACGCATTCCTGACATTTATTTACGCATTTTATACAGTATTTATACATTTATTTTGCAGCAAAATAAAGTGTACGAATTATGGATTTTGATTAAAATTCGCTTTGATTAATTGATCGTAAAAACCTTGACATTTTCCAGTCACCTTTACAAAAACTTATTATTGAATAAGGAATTGGAAAAAAAAATATTTGAGTGGAGAGTGTGGCGAAAATAAAGAGAGGCAGTTCTAAATGCCAAGATATTACATCCAAACACAGCCCATCATTAAGAATACATGAGATGGTATATTAAGATTTTAATAATAATGTTTATGCTTATATAGCGTTTTTTGGACACTCAAAGAGCATTACAGGTAATGGGGACTCTCATTGTTGATGAAGCAACAGCAGCCATAGTGCATAATGGGAAATTTGGGTAGGACACAACCTGGAATGTTTTAATGACCACAGAGAGTCAGGATGTTGATTTTACATCTCATCCGAAGGACAGTGCCTTTTTACAGTATAGTGTCCCCATCACTATACTGGGGCATTAGGACCCACACAGACTGCAAGGTGAGCGCCCCTACTGGCCCTACTAACACCACTTCCAGCAGAAACCTTAGTGTTTCCTAGGAGGTCTCCCATCCAGGTACTGACCAGGCTCACACCTCCAGAGTTTCAGTGGGTTGCCAGTTCTGAGTTGCTTTTGATAAAGAATCCTTCTAAAAGATTAATTCTCAAACTAAAGGTGGTACGAATTGCTGGAAATGTGTTGTTGTGGGTTGAGAATTGGTTAAAGGATAGAAAACAGGAATTGCAGATTATGGGTGAATGTTATGACTGGGATGATATACTGTAATTAGCAAAGTTCAACAGGGATTGGTATTAGGACCATTTTCCCCTATAAGGACCTTTTCCAAATGTATACCAATGGTCTCCTGGAATACTGTAGTTATTAAATTAATCTAGTTCGTAATTCATACCACAATAGGAGGAATAATGTTGTAGGCGTAGCAAATAAAATTCAGAAAGTTTGATTCGCAAGTGATTCAAGCCTTTGCAGATGACTTTTTACAAGAAGATAGCAATATATACACTATAGATACCAAATGGGAAATTTGGACAGGATGACGAACAGGGGACGGTGTAGACAGTGATCTGGTGTTCAGGGGAAACAAGAGCGAACTAACCCAGGAGGAAGTCCAATAGGGGGAAATCAGGCACAGTCCAGGGTCCCGGTACCGGGAGAGCCATCCAAACGAACAGGAAAATAGGAATCCAGGAACATAGAAGGTTAAAACTATAACGGAGCAAGGTGCTCCGAGCCCTGGGCACAGTGGTCAGGGCGCCATGATGAAGATATGTCCTCGCGCTACTCCTGAGCCCGGTTGGACTGACTTCCTTTCTGGTCTTACAACTGATTTATTCTTGGATGGCGTGGAAATATAGGATAAGAAATGTAACAATACTCATATAAGGAATCTTCGTAAACCCCATCTTATCCCTTCTTGTTTATCTTTTTGGAATGCAATGTTTGAAAACACTGTAGTGCTCCAGGGTTCACATGGGCACCCTCACTGCTGCCACATCAGGTCAGCCCCACCACCATCAGGGACTTGAACCCAGGCCTCCAGCATCACTCAACAGGGACCCAGCCTCTTGAGCCAAAGGGAGATCTCCCATCAGCCCAGCCGCTGCAGTCCCTGCTATCCACAGGGAAGGGCGGTGACGTCACCGCACTGGTAAGCCGGCTCTCACAACCAATGGTGGCCGTATGGCGTTACAATATAAACTGGAGGTTAGTTTGGACAACTCCTGATAGATGATTGTATTACAAATAAAGTTAAAGAGATATCGTTTAAAATTGTTCATAACTTTTATCCAGTTAAATTAGTGCTCTCTAAATTTAAGCATGAGCACGATGATCTGTGTGTTTTTTGTCTGGATGAAAGGGAATCTTTGGTGCATTTATCTGTTAGGTGTTGGGTTGTAAAGTTGTTTTGGATGGACTTGCAGAGTTTTGTTTGCAGGCAGTTAAAGGTGTTTTTTAGATTTAAGGATTTTGATATTTTATTGTACTGTTTAATAGAAAATTTGGAAAAAGAGCATTTATTTATAGTAAATTTATTAGTCATTCTGGGTAAATTTCACATTCATAAATCAAAATGGTCTAATCATACTCCCCTTTTTAGTACTTTTGTAGGTGGAGCTGAAACACTATTTAAATTCTATAAAAATTGAGAAATAATAAAGCAAGGAAAACATATGATATTTAAAAAATACAATTTGATCACATAATTTACTTCATTACCTCTGGCGGTTAATTTTTTTTTGTTTGTGTTTTTTCTCTTGTACCCGTTTTTGATTCTCTAGTTGTAGTTGTATTTGTAAATTCTTTATACAGTACGTTTAACACATTTAAAAAAAAAAGACTCCTGAGCCCAGTTATAGGCGGGTTTCCAGGCTTCCATCTTCCAAAGCTGAACCCCGAGCTGCGGAGACACCGGGTTTAAAGACACAGGTGATACGAAAAACACTAGGAACACAAAAGGATAGGAGCGCCCTCTAGAAGAGGGAGGACGACTGTCACACAACCTCCTGGTCATGAGAAGGGGTTGCTAGGACTACCGTGCCTGGTGAAAAGGTGACCTACTGTAGGGTAGGAGAAGGGGCGGACGAGGGATGCTAAATGAGCGAGGAAGTGGAGAGAGTGACGTGTGCTGTACATGGGAAACTGCGAAATTACGTCAGGATTAGTTGTGTTGTGTTGTGATGTTGCTCATTTATTCCGGCTGCCCTCATCCCTCCCAAGTGTTTTAGAGTATAAAGTTTAAATAATAGCATTAAAATCAAGGAATGTTTGGTCATCATATTACAAAAAAAAAGCTA